TTTGTTTGTTTGTTTGTTTGTTTGTTTGTGTGTTTTTGTGAACATTTTCTCAGCTGAAACAGCTTCCTTCAGTCTGTGCTGCAGTTATTTGCAGCAGGAGACACAGAGTCAGATTAACAGATTACAGGCTGATAATCCAGCAGACACACAGAGTCAGACTGCAACAAGAACAAACAACCAGAGAGGACTGAGGGATCCCCTCTCCTCACTTCTGGTCTAATCCAGACCCGGTTCACTATGTCAGAACCTCAGCAGAATGAAAACAACCTGGAATCTGGATCAGAACCATTAAAACTGTCTGGTTCTGGTTCTTTAGTGGCAGTCCAGGCTGTCCTTGTCAGTGGTTTCATGGTGTGGGACAAGGACTCTGGACTTCTGGACCAGTTCTAATAGGACCAACACTCTGAGACAGCAGACTTACACTGATTCTGGATTCCTGAACAAGTTCTAATGGGACCAACACCCGGAGACACCAGGCCTACTCTGACTCTGGGCTTCTGGACCAGTTCTAATAGGACCAAYRATCTGAGACAGCAGACCTATACTGACTCTGGACTCCTGGACCCATTCTAATAGGACCAACACTCTAACACACCAGACCTACATTGACTCTGAAACTTTGGACCAGTTTGTGCTGAATGACTTAATGTGTAGACCATGTGTTCCCCTTCAGCCAGGTGTGACCCCTCAGGGGTTCTACCTTACCTTTCTTCCTCCACCAGGGTCCCTCTCTAACTGAGTACGAGACGTCTTTGAACTCCATGTTGACGGCCGGTCTCCGGGGTAATGAGGAGAACCTCTGGGCCTCTGTCAGGTTGTTGTCCACCTTCTTCAGTGGTCTGTCCACCCTCTTCAGTGGTCCGTCCACCTTCTTCAGRTGTCCCTGCAGCATCGGTGTCTGGATGCTTGTTGGACATTTGTAGACCGTCTCATCCAAACAAACGCACACCGTCCGAGGGTCCAGCATCAGATCCGGGGGTCCGTTGGTGTTCTAGGGAGGACAGTGAGACCAGTATGAACCCATGACATGATATGTTTGTGTTTTACAGAGAAATGAAACTCAAAGATCTGCAAACAGGTCTGGTCACGGGTGGTCTGGGGTCTTGTAGGACCCAAGCACCTCGTGATGATCTGGTTGTTGTCGAGAGGCTGAGATTTTCTCTCAAATTAATAATCATGTTTTCAGTTTTCTGGATATTTTAGTTTTTTTATAGGAGAGTTTGGCAGGAAACTTTGAACTCTAACAAGGTCTTGTTAGCTAAAACCTGGACTGAAGCATGATGGATCTCTCAGRTCCTGGTTCAGGTCTGTGACTCTCAGAGCCTAAAACCACTTTTCTTCTCCACAGGTYCAGTTTATCAGATTATTTAAGGACAGAAATGCTTTAAAACGTTTTAGACTGATAAGCCTGTCTTGTCCCTGTGATGATTATCAGGAGCAGCCCTGGTTCCGTTAGCGGAACCTGAAGGTGGATCAGATCCGATGTGACTGAGGTCWCGCTGAGCATCAGGAGGAGAGGACTGTTGTCAGATTAGGAACCAGCTGGTCAGCAGAGCTCCTGTTGGACAGTTTGAGGYATTAATCAGCCTCTGAGGTCACTGTCGGACAACCAGCCGGGTTCACACCGACACTGCTGAGTCAGCACAACACAACGGTCCAAAACAATAAAAACACCTTTTTTATTCATTTATTAGTCGGTACCAGGCCACACTAACATGGTACTGAGCCAATGCTCCCTGTTTGAGCTTTCCTGTCTCAAAACCAGCCCTTAATAAAATAAATACTAATTATCTTCCAGATGACAACATGAACCCTCTTGCTGCCCCACGAGGCTTCATCTTTTAATTCTTTGTTCTTGTAACAAAGACTGGCCGAGTTGAGATTATTCACACAGTTAAAGATTAGTTTGATGTGAAAAAACTCAATAAAACTACGAGTTTGTTCCAAATCAAACAGTTGAGACATTTCATTGGTTTTCAGATCTTGTTTCCATAAACAGGTTGAACTGACAGAAGTCATAAAGAATAAAACAAATGTGAAAATTATCAGAGTTTAAATTTTAAACAACGTGTCATCAGTCGACAGAAAACATGGTTGTTTTTATGGTTTTATGGTTTTTATGATTGTTTTTATGGTCTTAGTTTATTTAATACAGTTTGTCTGTGGAAAACTAGAGCAGCAGTGTTTGGATCAAAAAACTGAATCATTGGTATAAAGAGACGACATATCAATGACGTTACTGAAATAAACTGTGGGACCCCAGACTCTGGATCCCAGACTCTGGACCAACATGACCCTCCAGACTCTGGATCAACCTGCCTCCCTGACTGTTGACCAACTGGCTCCACAGACTCTAGACCAACCTCCCTCCAAAACTCTGGCTCAATTTGTCCACCCAGACTAGACCAAACTGCCTCCCAGATTCTAGACCAAACTGCCTCCCAGATTCTAGACCAACCTGCCCCCCACCCAGACTCTGGACCAACTTGACCCTCCAGACTCTGGACCAACTTGACCCTCCAGACTCTTGTTCTGTAGAATCTCTAGTCTTGTAAGTCCGGCTCAGACTCACTTCTTTAATGACTTTTTATTCAAGTCTTGGTAAAGATCATTAGACCTGCTGTTCCAGTCCTCACTGATAACTGTGTGTGTGTGTCAGGCGTGTGTGTGTCAGGTGTGTGTGTATCAGGTGTGTGTGTCTGTGTCAGGTGTGTGTGTGTGTCAGGTGTGGACTCACCATGATGATGGAGTTGGTCACAGATGGGTTGTGAACGGACCAGGCGGCCATCAGACAGGCCATGGTCCACTGACAGCACCACACTCTGAACACACCAACAACCACTCAGCAGCTCTGACCACTAACCCCGCCCCCTAAACAATAACCCCTCCCACTTGTTGTCTAACCACACCATTGACTTAAATACAAAGATCACTAGACTGAGGCCTGCAAATCCTGTCCACTGGTAGTCTGTGACATCATGGAGGAGCAGAAATGGTGTCTAAAAAGGCCAACAGGTCACAGCCTCCAGAGAAACTAACAAACAGC